AGTGTGTAAGCTGTTTAAAGTAGCGCTCTTTTGCATAATCACGATTCTTCATCGAATTTCCAGTTCCCCCTGTTTTTTGGTATAGATTCCACTGGTCTGGGAATGATTTAAGCATTACCTATTTTCTTTAGTGATAATGCTCGAAACGATTCTATGCTCATTCAATTCTTTTATGTTTTTATAATATTGATTCCCAAATACGAGACAAAAAGTCACTCAAAGTAGAGCATTATTAAAATAGGTTGTTGGCGTGCGTAAAGGGGGGAGTTGATACGTGCAGATTTTAAGGTTATGCAGGACAGATAACGTTTGAGAAAACTTGTCAAGACTAAGATTTTAGCGATCAAAGCATCCGCTCGGGAGGTTTTTAATACAGCAGTGAATCTTGTGAAGAAGTTGTCAGGATGTCACTTCCTTTCTGTCAATGGAATACAAAGGAAATGACAAGGATTCGTCACAGAGAACATGGGATGTCGGGTCCTAGATGTGAATGACTGAACAAGTAAAATAACGGAAAATTTCGAATGAGTAGCAAGTTGCTAGAAACGACTAAAATATATCTATTACTAAAAATTTGTGTTTGTCTTTAGTGAGAAATTTATTGTAGTAGTGGTTATTTATTCACCCCCCCTCCACACACACAACTGGTTTACATTTTTAGGTTTGGTTGTTTTGAATTATGTTCCAAAGAATGTTTCTAAAGAAATATTGTACGAAAAAAGGTCATTTATAAGGATTCGCCCCATTATTTTCAAAGCCATATATAAATTATGCGGCACATTTTTCTTTATATATATATATATATATATATATATGTGTGTGTGTGTGTGTGTGTGTGTGTGTGTGTAGGTGTCTGTGTTTGTGTGTGTGTGTGTGTGTGTATGTGTGTGTTTCATTAAACACGACATTGATTAAGTTTGTTTTTTTTTTATTTAATTTTTCTTGTGTTCGAACAAGTGTTTACTTTTCTGGACACCGCGTTTGTAGAAACTGTCCAAATACTCTGTAATTCCGAGGGATTTCCGCTATAATTTTACCGATTGTCGAGGATGATTTTCTGTTTTACTTTTTAACTGAATGTATGGGTTTTTGGATGTATTTAAATGTGTTTAAATGAGTTCTAGTGGTGCTCATATAAACAAACACACTGACTTAACATACTGATAGAAAATACAAGTATAATAAACTTATCCCCATGTTAAAAAAAAGATTAAAAATAATAAAAGCTTTAATAATAAAAAAAAAAGAAAAAACAACACTCAATAATATTAACTACGAACACGGCCACAATTTTCTGACTGTGTTGGAATAATAAAACGTCCTTATAATTTTAGATACATACATACGATCCATACACGCAGTTTAAAAGTAAAAATAGAATTATCCTTGATAATAATCAAAAGTATAGCTGAAATCGCTCGAAATCACAGAACATTTAGACCGTTGCTACATACTGAGTGTCCAGAAAAGAAGAAAAGTGTGTGTTTGTTTTATCTTAATATATGATTGTGGATTTCTTTGTTGTACATACAATATTTACGTTATTGGTACAGAACGTCTGGTCACTCCCTACCAAAAAGGAATGGGAACAATAGAAGAACAAGTAATACAGTAATACAAAGCACATGTACTGAATTCAGTTTATTCACTTTCATTGAGGCTGGCATACACCGAGAAGCCTCTCTTCAAACTGTAATAGCTTGTGTCAGCCATCTGAAATTATATTATATAGGTGTCATATAACTTTCGGACTAACATGGACATTTAAGTATTGCATATAAAACGTTTTCATCTATAACTTATTGATATGTCCCGGAAAGGGATATATTTGATCGAAGTGGCTAAGTGGTTTTGGCTACTATAACCAAGTAGAATACGGTAGCAGTAATCGACTGGTACGCGTCGTAGTCGCAGGTAATAAGTGTAGATCAATGGCGTAGTCCAATGGGCGTCGTTATAGACTTAGCTCTCAGACTAAGGCTCTTACTCTGTCGTACCTACACATCGGTCTGTATTTATGACGGACACCAGCCAATCATATTCCATTGAGGGGGAACACAGGTGTATGCATATTCCATTATATCACTTATTTCTCGTATTCATATTGCAATTTGTATATGCAACTTATTTCTTAATTTTTACAAGAGTAACCTTTTTGTACTGAATATGTTTCTATATTGGATGGACCTAACAATTGGGTAAGAAATTAGAGTCCTGATGGAAATATAGGATAGACAACAACTGTGAGGAGTTAGGGAGGTAATAGCATATATAATTGAAAAGGCAGGGAGCCACTCGAGGTAGAGGGTTACAGAGTAAAAGGATATGTAGGTAAAATAAAGATTAATTCTACACGTGAACAGATAATTATTGTAGTGATCGGGAAAATACCCACTTGGGAGTCGATTCCACGGAACAGATGTTCATGGAAATAAGCTGCACCAATGGAACCCACATCTCACGAAGGGAATGACGGTGGTTCGCGACAATGTGTAAAGAACGTGTAAATTCCGCCTTGGAGGGGTGTACGCACTCGGATACTTACCGGTCACAGGGCTCGGTTCCTGTGCTGGTCGTAGCACGGCTATGACTAGTTTGGGCGGCCTCTGACTAGTCTGGACCAGCTATGACAAGTCAAGACCAGCTATGACTAGCTTAGACCAGCTCTGACCAGCTTAGATAAGCTATGACCAGCTAAGACCAGCTTGGACCAGCGGCCCGAGTGAATACACTCGTCTCCACGTTAAAAACTGACCTTGTGTCACAACCTGACTTAGTGGGGGTGTCAAGTAAATACGGTGTAAATTCCTCCCTGGAGGAGTTTCTAACGCATGGCTTTTCATCTCTGTTGCCTCTATCTTTGGGCAGAGTGCGCTCAATGTCTAAGGACAGAGGGGCAACTGATGAAAATAATATTGGGAGGTGCCCAGCCCTGGGGAGCAGTTGCACGAGGCTGCGACATATCGTTGCAACAAAGAGTGGGATCGGTGCTCCCAATGAGGCCAGCGCAACCGACGATTGCGAGGGCTGTGGGCAATATTTTCTTCCTGGCCCGGGTTTTTCGCACTCGGGTTCCCCACCTTAAAAGAGACTTTGTGTCACATCTCATCTCAGTGGAGAGACAAAGTAAATAAATATCATGTTTGATGAATGGCGTGTCTTAACCGTCAAGGCTGGGACTGTCGGAACTAAGTAATTTAGTTCGTCTTAGCACTTTCCATGGAAATAAAGATAGTTGAGAGATGCATGCAGCATTTCGTCTATGAGAAAATGGTAGTAGCGTTGAAAAGGACGCGGAGACCGGAAAGTGAAAAACTGCCAGCCCCTGCTCATACATGAGACAAGTACTCATTTATTGGGCTACTGAATTGATAAACAATATTATTCATAGATTTTATTGTTATAATTATTATTATAAAAAAATGTTTCGACGATTAACCCTCTGGCCATCTTCAGGATATTTTCGCTATATCGGATATCTATTGCGTTTCTGCAGATTGCGTTGGAAATCATGAAGCAAAAAGTTTTTGCGAGTCGGGAATGAAAATAAATCTTTATTATCAAAATAGGTTGAAGATAATAACAAACAAACAATTAGTTTCTGTGTCTGCTTAAATTTGTTTATTAGGGAAAGGTACGATTTTATTTTACATTTTTGTTCTATCCTTTTGCGAATAAATCAATTGCGGAGGTTTTATCAGAACCTGGAAGTTTTGTTTTCTATGTCGTTGTACAAATGAAAGAATTTAGAATTATATTCGATCTCAAATCACAATTAACTTCCCATCGTAAATAGAAAGCGTAAACAACATGCAATTCGATAAAACATAGTCTTTTTTTTTTATTTTTGGTGTTGGTGGCAGTTAATATGACGAAAAACAGACGAAGACAAAACCGATAAGCAAATGAAAAAAAAAAAGAGACAGATTTGTCGTCGATATTTCTGCTCAACCAAATTGTTATTCAGCAGATCGAATGATATTTATATTTGGAGAAATGGAGAAGACAAACACCGTCTACTTAACTGTGTTTATTCTGACAAATATAACCAAGTGACAGAAAATTATCTGAATCCATTCATATCATCATTCATGTATCTTTCTATCTACTTACCTATGACAGCATATATATATATATATATATATATATATATATATATATATATATATATATATATATATATATATATATATATATATATATATATATATATATATAAAAAATAAAACTATATATAAAGAATAAAACTCTACTTTTCTACTGAGCCCTGTTTTAAATTAATGTTAATTTACATTCGATTCGTTTCATATATATATATATATATATATATTTTTCATATATATATATTTTTCATATATATATATATATATATATATTTTTCTTTCATTTTAACTACATTTAAGGATTTTTTTGTTTGTTTTTTCTAAATTTCTTCATATATATATATATATATATATATATATATATACAGAGTGAGAGGAGATAGATAGATAGATAGATAGATAGATAGATAGATAGATATAGTGTTATTAAAAATAAAGAGAAGACTTTGCAAATTTAATGAAAACAAATGTTCAAAATGTTATATATATACCTTTTGAATATATATATATATATATATATATATATATATATATATATATATATAACTTTTGAATAACCCTACATATATATATATATATATATATATATATATATATATATATATATATATATATATATATATATATATATATATATATATACATACAGGGTTATTCAAAAGGTAAGTGCAAAAATTTAATAAAAAAGAAAATGCTAAAAGACAGGAACACATTCAACACCTTACAATACAAGTTGTTAAAATAAATGAAATTTCTTTTCAGTCTTGCTTAAATGCTTCTTTTTTGTTATTTTCTTAAAGATTTTATATAATTTTTAATTATTATAGTTTGTGTCAACAATTAAAATGACCACACTACAAGAAATGTGTTTTTATGCACTCCAATTTACGAAGTGTAATGTTAATAAGCTTGGAAACTTTCCCTATCCAGTAAGGTGTTCAATGTTTTAGCATTTGTTTTCATTACATTTTCAAAATCTTCTCTTTATTTTTAATAAGACTCTATCTATCTATCTATCTATCTATCTATCTATCTATCTATCTATCTATCTATCTATCTATCTCCCTCTCACTCTGTATATATATATATATATATATATATATATATATATATATATATATATATATATATACACCAGTGTAACAGAAAAATAGTCCAAATCATGTAACAGCATGTGTTAATTGTTCATAAAAAATGTCTAATATCTAAAAAAACAGGAAAGTAATTGAGTTTTCAGATAATACGTGTTGCTATCTTGACAACATTTTCCGTAAGAGTCTCTGTAAAACACTTTGAGTTATTCAACTAGAAATAGAAAAGTTTAAAATCGGTTTATGTCAGACCCACATCTTCCCAACTGAGCAATGGTGAGAGGAAAAATATCATTCAGACCTTCTATAATGGTACCAACATTCATAGTCTGGCTCCATCTTCAAAGTCTATTCAAAAACCATCAAGAGAACGATGAATCAGTTTAAAAAAGCGGAAAGAGTAAAGCGGCAACCTGTATCAGGAGGTCAAAACAGGAAGATTTATCAGCATTTTATCTTAGAGTTAAATACGTTCTTATTGCTGAAACTAGAGTCAAATAGTATTATAAAAACCTCGGAGTATTCCAGTAAGATATCATTAATCATAGTGTGAAATAATATTAGAATAAGATGAACATTATTAAGACGAGAGAACTATAAATGAACAGGAATTAAGAAGACAGAAGTTCATAAGTGACATTTAAATTTGACTGGAGAAGCAAGCTTCAGCACTATAATCCAATGAGCGAGAACTTCAGTGAGAAGAAACTGTTAGCATAGAACTTACGGTTACACCTAACAATTTCAAATGTATAATGATGAAATCTGTCTGGCAATATATCACTTAAATTATCAAAGTCTAGAAACCAAAGAGGAAACTCACTAGAATTATTAGCTTGAAAATATTTATAGAAAAGAATACAAGGAAGATACGTCACGGCTGTAGAGAAGTAACTTAAGTCGAGATGCCAGGTAAGTACCATTAACATAGCAAATTCTTCTTTGGATTTTCATCGAGAATCTTTAAGTAGTCAATCAATAGGTCATGTGACAGTAAAATCCAGTGCATGGACGTATAAATATGTAGGAGAGATGTCTAGCCTGGCACAGTAAAGCTAACTTCCCTTCCAGCAGACCTACCAACTGATCTGACATATATATATATATATATATATATATATATATATATATATATATATATATATCGTGAACAATTTAAATAATCATTAACCACACGCGTTTTCCTATCAGCAGTGGTGCATCCTGTAGAAGGTCTGGAATTGTGTTCGAAATAAAGTACCTGTTGACAACTCCTGTAAAACGTGGTGGGAGAACATATATACCTACCAGACTGTATGTATTAAGAAACAGGAAAATCTAGTTAGAAACAAAGAAAATAGGATTCACATATGTTTAGCAATAAATGCTGGAACATCTAATCACAGATGAAGAAGAAACATGAAATGTACTTCTACTGAAGGATGCTTAGGATAACAGGTAGCATTATAGCTGGACTATTAATATATCCTCGAGAACCTGAATTACCGGATGTTGTAGATAAACTAAACAACGTCAAACATACAATAGAATTAACATGCAAAATGCAAAAAAAAAAAAACATCACTACGTTTCCTAGATAACAGACTACACCGCGTTAACAGATGTTTAAAATATAGCATCCACTGAAAACCAACTAATAAAAACGATCTCATAAATTTCTATTCCTATCTCCTAAATAATAATCAGAAGAGGACTCAGTACACGAAAAGGACAAATATGTTGAAAATAGATTAAAAACCCTTCAATACCCCAAGAATTTCATATTGTGATGGCTTACCCATTCTCTATCGGTGACAAATACAAATTAAACTCTCTACTATTTTTACTAAATCAAATGAAACAAAGACAACAAAAGAAATAATCAAATACGCAGATATTTGTTTTAACAAATATTATTTTTATATAACAACAAATACACACGATATAATAAAGTTGTTTAAATTTAAAGATCTCGGTTGTGTGATCTAGGGTAATATGAAAGGTATTATTCTATATATCAAGTAAGAAATTAAACAAATTATGTAGATGGTGAAATTGAATGAAATAGATTGCTTGACTTATTGTAGAGTTGTCTCGCTTCGTCTGATATAGTCACGATTTACTTTATGTTGTTAAGATATTGAGTGGGTCGGTTGATGATCACATATTCTGTGGTAGAACTCAACCGAATTTCCCTTACCCATAGGACTGTGTCCCTGCGAGATAATCATAATTAAGTAATTCTTCGTCACCGAGGCCTTTGGTACAGTTGGCATGACGTTTGCCTCATATCGTAACTGACCAGGTTTCAATTCTCGGCAGTGGATGCGTACTGATGATGAGTCCCAAATATAGGACAAAACAGCGGTTCAATGCTTTCTGTATTCTGTTGAGGTCTCTTCTAGACTCGGTGAATTGCTTAATTATGATCATCTCAAATCCTCATAATATCTTCTATCATATATATATATATATATATATATATATATATATATATATATATATATATAATAAATCCAGACCGCACGTGGAACTCGTAAATCTCATCCATCGTTAAAGATGCTGGCAGAATGGTCAGTTCCCTCGACCGCTTCAGTAAGTGCCTGACTCCTTCTGTTATCCATTACTTTTTAAAGATCCACATCAGACCGAGAATAGATTACTGCTGCCATAGAAGGACAGGTGCTACCGAGTTTTCACTTTCCTGTCACGATAAAGTTCAAAAGCGCCTCCTTTTTGTGTGACGAATTATTTTCTAACTTACAAATTCTTTCTCACAGACGAAAAATCGCAAGCCTCCCGATACTGCATCTAAATTTCAAAGGAGAGCCTGTGTTCAGTCGATCTATATTCCCTAGTTCTAACGGCCCTAACCTTGACGGCTAAACCCTTCCATGTGGCGTAGCCAAACACATTTCCTTCGTATTCCAGATATAACTTCCACTCGAGCAGCGTCTTCCAACAATCCGCTGCTCTGTGGAATCGAATCCTAAGTGTATATTTCTTCGATCAGTACAATCGTCACCTGTTCAAGCTTCATTATCTTCCACATATATTCGCAAAAACTGTCTCTTCCTCTGTAACACCCGACAATATGTGGTACTTGTTTTTGTACACGGTGAACGTCATTGTGAAAGAAAAGAAAAAAAAAACATTAAGAGAATCAGTGAATGAGAGACACAAAGGTTTAGCGGGGATATATGTTTGTATGCGTTTTTTTCGTAACGTATATTTAAGGTTTATTTTGTTTGGGTTTTTTATTTTATTTTATTCCTTCACATGACATGGTTCTTATTGCTGTACGATGGATGTTTTCTTTTAAAAACGCAATCAACTTCTGCTTGATGTTCACTTCACATTTTACTACCATAAATTCAGCGCATCGTTAATGTTGATTAGGTTTTTCCAAGATTCTTTTTTTTTCTTTTTTTAGTTTCTATTTTTCTCCCTCTCTAGATTGGTATTTTCTGCTTTATCGGTGCGAAAGTTCACGAAAATTGCAATCACTCATTTTCCGCCACTTCTCACCAATCAGTCTTCAGACGAAAATAACAAAAAGAATAGTTTGAATTTTGCATTAATATATTCTGATGGAAATTTAGCTAAATGTCTTTCATTTCAGATTGATTTTTCTTCACGACGATATATTTTATCCCTTCGTATTTCTTTCAGTTGTCTTTAATTTTGTTTTGTTTTTATTCACTTTCTTCTTTTTCCTTCCTTTATTTGCGCCATTCTTTACTTTGTTTTTTACAAAATTTATTTGTGGTTTATATGACTCTCTTTCTTTCATTCTACCACTTTATTTTCTTCATGACATTTTATAAATTATTTATACATGTTTGTTTTTTTATTATTATTTTATTCGTGACATTCTGAATTTCTCGCTTTCTTTGCTTTATTTGAGCCATTCGGGCTTCCTTACTTTCTTTCCTTTATTTGGGCCATTCGGGCTTCCTTACTTTTTTTCCCTTTATTTATTCGCGCCATGCTGTCGTTTTTCGTTTACTTTCTTGAACTTCAGATTTTCTCAAATTCTTTCTAATATTTATTCGTACATTCATCCTTTCCCGTTTTCATTCCTTTATTTATTCGTGTTATTCTATAATTCTCGTTTTATTTCGATTAGTGTTTAGAGCCATTCTGCTGCTCTCGCTTGCATTCATTTATTTATTCTTGCACTTCTGCCTTTCTCGAATTCTTTTCAATATTTATCTGCGCGGTTCTTCCTTTTCCACTTTCTTTCATTTATTTATTTATTCCTACCATTCTGTCAGTCTTACTTTCGTTTAATTTTTCGTATCATTCGTTCTTTCTCGCAGTCTTTCCTTTTTTTATTCGTGCCATTAGATTTTATTGCTTTTCTGCCTATGTCAATTCATGCCATTCTCCTTTCTTGCTTCCTTTCCATTATTTATTCCTTCCATTCTGTCTTTCTTGCCTCCTTTCCATTATTTATTCCTTCCATTCTGTCTTTCTTGCCTCCTTTCCATTATTTATTCCTTCCATTCTGTCTTTCTTGCCTCCTTTCCATTATTTATTCCTTCCATTCTGTCTTTCTTGCCTCCTTTCCATTATTTATTCCTTCCATTCTGTCTTTCTTGCCTCCTTTCCATTATTTATTCCTTCCATTCTCCTTTCTTGCTTCCTTTCCATTATTTATTCCTTCCATTCTGTCTTTCTTGCTTCCTTTCCATTATTTATTCCTTCCATTCTGTCTTTCTTGCCTCCTTTCCATTATTTATTCCTTCCATTCTGTCTTTCTTGCCTCCTTTCCATTATTTATTCCTTCCATTCTGTCTTTCTTGCCTCCTTTCCATTATTTATTCCTTCCATTCTGTCTTTCTTGCCTCCTTTCCATTATTTATTCCTTCCATTCTGTCTTTCTTGCCTCCTTTCCATTATTTATTCCTTCCATTCTGTCTTTCTTGCTTCCTTTCCATTATTTTTATTTCAATTCTGTTTTTCTTGACTTCTTTCCTTTATTTATTCATTTATCTATTTATTCGTGTTATTCTTCCTTTCAAACTTTCTTTTCCTTTATTCATTCGTACCATTCTGCTTTTCTTGCTTTTTTCCCATTATTTATTCATATCATTTTGCCTTTATTTATTCGTACCATTTGTTTTTCTTGTTTACTTTTCTTTTTTTTAATTAATGCCATTCTCTCTTTTTCTCTTTCTATCCTTCATTTATTTGTGTCATTTAGACTTTGTAGCTTTTTTCTTTTATTTATACGCGACCTTGTGCCTTTCTCGCTTTCATTCCTTTATTTATTCGTACCATTCTGTCATTCTGTCTCTCTCTCTCTCTCTGTGTCTCTGTTATTTATTCGTTTGATTTGTCTTTCTCAGTCGCTTCCTTTATTTATTCATCGGATACTGTCTATATGGATTTTATATTCCTTTATTTACTTGTGCCATTCATCCTTTTCCATTTTCTTTGCATTATTTATTCGTGCCATTCTGTCTTTGTGACTTTCTTTTCATTATTCATTCGTGTCATTTTCCCTTTCCCGCCTTGTTTCCTTTATTTATTCGTGCTATTCTGTCTTTCTAGCTTACTTTCCATAAACGTTTTTTTTCTTTTTTCATTAATGACATTCTCTCTCATTCACAAAAAAAAAAATAGAGAAATCTTTTATTTATTCGTACCATACTATCTTTCTTGCTTTCATTATTTATTCGTGCCATTCTTTCTTTCCCGATTATCCGTCGTTCACTCGTGCCATTCTCTCTTTCTCACTTTCTTTCCATTACTCATTCGTACAATTCTGTCTTTTCTCGCTTTATTTCCATTATTTATCCTCGCCATTCTCTCAGTCCGGTGTATTTCCTTTATTTATTCGTACCATTGTGTCTTTCATGTTTTGTTTCTTTTGTTTTTCCTTCCATTCTTTCTTTCTCGTTTCCTTTTCTTTATTTCCTCATGCCATTGTCTTTCTCCCTTCCTTTCCATTATTTATTCGGTCCATTCTTTCCTTCACGCTTTCTTTTCTTTATTTTTACATTCCATTCTTCCATTTTCTCTTACTTTCCTTTTTTTCCCCCGTCCTTTTGCATTTCTCGATTTCGTTTCATTATTTAGCCGTGCCATTCTCTCGTTTCTCCTTTCTTTCCTTTATTTATTCCTGCTATTCTTCCTTTTCCATTTTCATTCCATTATTTATTCGTGCTCTTCTGTTTTTCCCGCTTTCTTACCTTTATTTATTCGACTATATGCCTATCCAGACTACTCACGTTACACCTGTCAGATCACAGATCCATTTAAACGCATTTAAACCCTCGCACAAATCTACCAGACTCCATCCAGAACATGCCAGTAAAGAATATTAGCACAATAACATCATCCCTATGCGAAAAAAATGAGTAAAAATAAGTGAAGCTTTAAAATAAATAGAAATTCCAACACTCAGTAATATTTACTACGAACACGGCCAAAATGTGCTGTCTGTGTTCAGAGAATAATACATCCTATTACTCATTATACGTGCACACAACCTATACATCATTCTGAAAAGTAAAAATAAAATCATTTTTGAAAACGTCTAAATTTACAGCCGAAAGCTCTCGAAATTTAAAAAAAACAACATTTCGACAGTTCCTACACACGCTCTGTCGAGAAAAGGAGACACTCGACCGAACACAAGAAACATTAAATAAATTTCTATCTAAAAAAGGCAGAATCTGTGTGTGTGTGTGTGTGTGTAACGAATGCACGGCCGCAAATTTCGACGGATTTACACCAAAATTTACATGCAAATGCTCCAACTTAGTGGGAAGGCTTTGCATTTCCCAAGTCCCATCGATAGGGGAAATAATCGAGCTTTTCATGCTTCTACGGCAGTTTTCATGTAGTTTGCGGACATTTTGAACTGGCCAGAAGGAGAGCCTATAGCTGGCTGCCACGAATAGGCAGGAAGATTCCATTGGCCAGCGTGAGAGCCAACAGCTGACTGACACGAATGTTAACTAGGATGTTAGCATGCGAAAAAATCGATAGCTGCATTCGTCACAAGTGAGAAAAATTTAAATCTGCATGGCACTTTACTCCAATTGGCTCATTCGCTTGCTTAAACTAAACATTGATTCTGCTTCCGCAGAACTGGGTTGTGTGTGAAAAAGTATTTCTTTTTTCATTCGGTTTTTCCAGTTACGAGTCCTTATTTTAAAGCCGATCGTTTTGTGTTCATTTTGTTTAGTTCTTTTTTCGTAACAGATGTAATGTTTAGTATAGAGCTTAGAAAAAATTGGCAGTGTGAGATAGGCAAGAAGTAAGGCATGTAGCAACATCAGCATGGCAAAGGGCACTTCGTTAAAGGCAAGAAAGGGCAAAAATATTTTAAGTCAAGTGATAGCGATTATAGTATAAGTCGTACGATTTTTGAATCAGGCACGGGTAACGCCGAGTCATGCTGCTAGTAGCATATAATATTGCTTATTAATGCTAAAAGAATTTACGCGACAATTGTGCATTATGTGTTACCATTCCATTTTTAATTGGTTATAGACATCTGAACTTATACTAATCTTTACTTAATATGCATCCTTTGCCAATTTTTAACAGATTAATAGTAGATAGTCTTTCCTGTTGTTCAGACTGATCTTTCATGTCTGTAAAACAGGTGTAGAGGGTCATCCCTTGTTCCCTCTTCAAGATATTGTTCACTGTTTCTCCTTATTTCTCTCACCAGTGCCACAATGATTTAGCTGTCTTAACTCTTTAGAGATCATTAGTTTTGACTTTTCATTATGAGGGCACTGTGATGGCTGTTTGCTGTCTTCGCCTTCCGACTGCATGTTAGGAACCCGATTTCTTTGCTAGCGCTTAGAGAGGCTGCTCCGATAAAAAGTTGCATAATATCGCGATATATAGCGATCGCATTGATAGATTTCCCTGCATGTATTTCCGGTGGGCAACCTTAAGGCCACTATATGCTCTGCACACACCTACGCCCAAGCTTGTTTTTATTGCCGTTGACGACAGATAGTAACAATTATGGCGGTCTTTTTACTCTTTATTCAAATTAGATGTCATGGAAATCATAACAAGAAATAAAACTAAACTAGCTAACTAAAATCCACCTATCCACCGCAATCTTTTTTCTCCAATATTCATGGCACCCCTTCCATCTTCTGCAGCGTAGAAACTTTTGTCCGAGGAAAAGTCGCCAGATATCTTTGCCCTCTGTGAAACCGTCTTGAATTCTTCCATTTCGATCAATTAATTCCTGGCTATCTCTCCTTTTGCCGAAGAGATCCCAGCAGTCACAGGTATGAACTTGGTGTTTATATCCGGGTTAATCTTCCAATAGTCAAGGAATTGTCTCTTAAGGCCGCTGACTACACTTTCATGTGCTTCCGTCTTGCCTGACTAAAGTCTGTTAGCTATCTCTTATTCCTTTATCACTCCTCCTTTTCTAAAGATTCCAGTATATTAGATGAAATAGTTGATAGTATAGAAAAGGCACTTTCTTCCGTTCATCTGAGAATATTTGGATTATAATGCTTACCGTCACACGTAGCTGAATCATTCTAAATTTACTGACGTTGCCGGTATACAGACATTACATTTTTGCCATTGCCCATTATCTCAAACCGTGCATTACCTCACTCATCTCCCCAGCCAAACCGAGCAACGTGTTCTCTATTGGATCTATTTCTTACCTTCTCTCCCCGCTCTTGCCAAGCTTCACAATACTAACTTCTTGTTAACTCGCCCCACTCTGTCGTAGCTATTGATATCTCCTTCCAACCCTCCATTAAACAGGATCCTCCTACCCATAAGACCTATTTCCGGTACCAGCATGTTGATTGGGACTCATTACGGGATCTACATCGTGACGCCTCTTGCACTAACATCTTAAACCTCCTAATTGAAAATGCGCCACTGAAGTTTCTTCTTGGGTCAAAGCCGTCATAGACGCGTTCATCTCTTCTTGGAAGTACCAAGTGAAACAACAATCCTCTACATCTTTCACACCATCATTCTAGGGCGGCATAGCTCATTGAAACAGCATTTTCAAGCTTTTCCAGCATGACAGCTCTCGTCATAACAGGTACCAATTTGCTACTACTCATAACAAATGTAAGCGAGCCCGCGAAGAAACTTAGTCCCTGTTTGCTTAGAGAATGAGAGTGAGAATTTCGTTTACTAATTTTCTTACAAAAGTACGAAATTCTGTGAAGGAAAAAAAAACTACTAAAACATTTTACTCTATTAACTAGACTATACATTAGTCCATGTAAATTTAACTGAAAAATATATACAACCAAAAACGTCGTCGATTTACCACATTAATAAATTCAAACAAAATTCTAACTTGAATTATTTAAACTAGAACTCTAGCGTTGCGGTATTGTACGTTACAATATTATATAACTGTCAATAAATAATATATTTTTAAGAAAAAAACATCTTTCGGTCGACACTACATTTATTTCGTCTTGGAGTTTACCCGCAAATGGAAAAATTACGCCCTGAAGATGAAAATGTGAAATTCTTGATAATACCCGGTCCAGCAACATCAAATCTATCTGACAAGAATTTTAAAAATAAAGACCGCGTTATTCAATAAATTGGTTGTAAGTTAATGACTTATTAATTATTGTTAGCGAAGAGATTTCGCCATAAATTATATTAACATTAATAATTAATTCTTTGTATGATTACATCTTTATATATATATATATATATATATATATATATATATATATATATATATATATATATATATACTAATGTTGAGATTAATAGTTACCTGATAAGAAGCGTCCTGGACATGACGATAAACTATATCCACGTCCTTGGTAAGACGATAAAGTATTTTGAAAAATATTATCAGCTATACGTTTTGGAAAAAATAATATTACCAGAAATACGTTTTTGAAAAAATATTACCAGCAATACGTTTTTGAAAAAAAAATATTAACAGAAATAGATTTTTGACAAAACAAAAATATTACCAGGAAAAAAAAGTTGTCGGCATTAAATGACCCATTGAGGTTGATATGCCGTAAAACAAAACAAACCAAACAAATCCTGATAAGAAAACATCCGGAATTCATTAACAGAAAAGTTAGTGTTGCTCTCGGTTAAAATTTAATTTATTTTTCTCTTAAAATAATTTATCAAGAAAATAGGTTCGTCAAAAACATTGAGTCTTATAATTATTTCTATTATTGAGGCAAGATTCTTTCCTAACATTTTGTTTATAATAGAATAGAAAATCAACATCCTGATTATATCATTATTTTCCTTCTCTTTAGATGACCTGGAAAACAGCAAAACAATTGGCTCTGCGCCTATGCATCGGAGGTACCCACATTAATGCACAATGACTTTAGGCCTACTACAGTAAATGAAAAGATACATCGTATTTGTGGGACCAGCTGTGACCATCAATTCACCGGTAGCCGAGCGCTTGAATGTTCCCAGTAAAACAGACAAAAGTCAATTGGTTCTGGATCTATGTTTTAGAGATCCTTCCGGTAATGCCCAGAAATCCGAGGTTAATTCCTTGTAATCACTCATGTCATACCTTCTATCTTTATATCACAAGTGTCGGTGTCAATGGTAATAGCCAAATCGAGCTGCGGGACAAGGTGGTCAAGATTTAGAATCGGGTGGTATGACCACGTGTTTCAACAGGATTGTATTCGCCATCAGCTGGTGTCAAGACTGGCTGTCCGAAACTTTTGGATTACTACGGCTAGGTTGATCTCAAGTTCAAGATCAACCCGCAATAAATTAAGAGGAAGATATTAAAGTAAATATTAATCAATGAGGGTTGCATTAATTGCGGCTGGGGTCTTTTGGTAGTTACTGAGTGATAAGGTAAGATCTATATTCTTATATAAGCTTGAACCTGCTTTTATGCCTCCATTTTAATAGTAGCTTTCTCATTTGATTTAATACTTTGCATTGATCATTGCATTTAATTATTCTATTTTTCCTGTATCTATCTCTAAAGCTATTAGTAGTATGCCCGAAACCTTTAATTATCCAATCTGTCTGCAGGTTTAGACTCTTTTCCTTCAATTCCCAAAATTTCTTTGAAACGGCCTTTTGGAATTTTAATTTAGGATTGATAAATAAGTTCCTATGGGTATAAATTCTCTGTTTCAATTCTCCTGCAGAAATTCCAATGTAGCCATTATAATGTGTCGTATTTTCTTTGGG